CTGAGGCCGTGGTCAATATAATTCCCAGAACCACTTAAAATATAACACTAGTAACTGCGAGCGACCTCACAGAGGTCAAAAAACCCTAAATTCAGATGTAGATATCTGGCCATTAGGGTTACGTTACAGTAGGCTAGGTATAGTTACCAAAAAAAAAAAATTTTTTCCCTGTTTGCATAAAAATAAATTAAAGTTCTATTGCACAACCCACTTAATAATGAAAAACTGACATCAGTAAAATCATAGTTCCCCCCTAAACTAAATATTAGCAGAGGGAAGGAAGGGGGTTGCTACCTATTCTGTGCCAGGAAGTGTAATAATGGGTGGAGAAATATAGTGGTGGTGTTTTCTTCGTGAGGACGACCTCTGCGACTTGTAAGCGAATTTAGAATGTTGAATATAACAAGCTTAGGTTAGCATTGGTTGACATGTAACATACTCCAATAACAATAAACAATAACAAAAATCGTAACAATAACATTTAAGCAATTAATAGCAGGCATGCCAACAGTGGAATAAAGTATTAATACATATACAGTTTGTTTAGATTATACTTGGACATTGAAAAAAGTGAGAGAGAGAGAAGAGAGAGAGAGAGAGAGAGAGAGAGAGAGAGAGAGAGAGAGAGAGAGAGAGAGAGAGAGAGGATGCACAATTCATCAGAATTCTGCCGTTATTTCGATACAAAAATATTCACTGCCTGGGGTCAATATTAGAATAAGGTCTTTAATTATTATATTATAATCAAGGGGGGCTAAACCCGAGGTTCTTAAAACCATCGAATGATGGATCAGGAAAAAAGTGCCGTATATCGCGGCGCCTGTACAGTTTGTAAATCTTATAGCAGTGTTATAAATTTAATTAGGATGGTAGTTGGCCTTAGTTATTCAGCCAAATGCTAAATAAATTGGATCATAAAAGTAAAAGTTATTATCTCACATGAACCTACCAAAGAACACTGTTCCCGGCTACCTTGGCAACGCACTCCATCTGGATCATCCATTAAGGCCTGGTATCGAACACTCGTACAGCATAATGATGTAACGAGTTACTATTGATCACTGAAATGCGCCCATGCTCAACTTCATAGTGTTCCCTACTGTTGTCTATACAAATGCTTTCAATCAGTCCAATTTACAACCAATCTTGCTTCATAATTAGAATTTACCTTAATAGCTGTCAATAAAGCTAGGATCCTTAACCGTGTCAAAACCCTTGGTAAAAAAAAAAAAAAAAAAAAAAAAAAAAGAGAGAGAGATGCACAATTCATCCTATAGAGATTACTGCAGTTCTTTTCATGAGACAAAAATATTCACCCGCCTGCGGGTCAATATTATGAATAATGGTTCATTTTAAATTATTATTATTATAATCAAGGGGGAGCGCTAAACCCGAGGTTCATTTTAAAACCAACGAAAGTATGGATCAGGAAAATAAGTGCCGTATATGCGGGGCGCCTGTACATGTTTGTAATATCTTATAGCAAGGTGATTTATTATCAAATTTAATTTAATGTATGTTAAATGATGATCTTCGTTCAATGACGGTAAATTAATTTTGTATAAAAGTATAATACATCTGATTATCTTGCCGATGAGCCTACCTAATGTAACTACTGGTGTCCCGTAACTGGATTGGCAACGCACTCACCTTCCACATTAAGGTCCGTGGTTCGATCCCCGATACAGGTGAAAACATTAGAGCGCGTTTCCTTAAGATACCTGCGGTCCCTGTTCACCTATCAGTAAGTAGGTACCCGGGTGTTAGTCGACTGGTGTGGGTCGCATCCTGGGTACCAAACTTACCTAAGCTGCAAGAATTGCTCTGCATAACCAGAGGTTTTCTATATAGTATATCATTAATGTCAGCTATGGTCTTTACACGTTGTATCAGATTGTAATTGTAATATTAACTGAAACTAAAGAACCACAACAATCAAGGTCAATACAATGGGGGATAAGCTGGACCTTGATACATGTACTCAACTGGTAGAGGCAATCAGTATAATTTTATATTTATAAATTCTAAACTCATATTTTGGTTACTAGGCTTGAGAAGTATCTGCCTAGTATGGGCCAGTAGGCCTACTGCAGTGGTCATCGTGTGTTCTTGTTAGCCGAACAGTGCCTGTTGATGTGAGGGGGGAAGGTTAGGCAATCAGATGTGAGGGGAATGGTAGACAATCAGATATAAGTGATCGGTAGACAATGTGAGGGGAATGGTAGACAATCAGATATAAGTGATCGGTAGACAATGTGAGGGGAATGGTAGACAATCAGATATAAGTGATCGGTAGACAATGAGAGGGGAATGGTAGACAATCAGATATAAGTGATCGGTAGACAATGAGAGGGGAATGGTAGACAATCAGATATAAGTGATCGGTAGACAATGGTGAGGGGAATGGTAGACAATCAGATATAAGTGATTGGTAGACAATGTGAGGGGAATGGTAGACAATCAGATATAAGTGATCGGTAGACAATGTGAGGGGAATGGTAGACAATCAGATATAAGTGATTGGTAGACAATGAGAGGGGAATGGTAGACAATCAGATATAAGTGATCGGTAGACAATGTGAGGGGAATGGTAGACAATCAGATATAAGTGATTGGTAGGCAATGTGAGGGGAATGGTAGACAATCAGATATAAGTGATCGGTAGACAATGTGAGGGGAATGGTAGACAATCAGATATAAGTGATTGGTAGACAAAAGAGAGGGGAATGGTAGACAATCAGATATAAGTGATTGGTAGACAATGTGAGGGAATGGGAGGACAATCAGATATAAGTGATCGGTAGACAATGTGAGGGGAATGGTAGACAATCAGATATAAGTGATTGGTAAACAATGAGAGGGGAATGGTAGACAATCAGATATAAGTGATCGGTAGACAATGTGAGGGGAATGGTAGACAATCAGATATGATGGCAATGATAGACAATCAGGTGTGATGGAATTAAATATAATAATAATAATAACAACAGCACTCCATTTCCGTCAATCAAGAGAGAGAACAACTGGGATTGGAGTCATGATGAACCATGGCGGCTCATCATGACAACGGGTTCTCATCAGAGTGTGAATTTCACTTGGTCATGATGCAGTGGTTAGCATGGTGGTCTGGGACCATGGCAGGCTACGCTTGTGCACCTGGGACCATGGCAGACCAACTTGAGCACCTGGGACCATGGCAGACCACACTTGAGCACCTGGGACCATGGCACGCCACGCTTGTGCACCTGGGACCATGGAACGCCACGCTTGTGCACCTGAGACCATGACAAATCATGCTTGTGCACCTGGGACCATGGCACGCCACGCTTGTGCACCTGGGACCATGGCAGGCCACGCTTGTGCACCTGGGACCATGGCACGCCACGCTTGTGCACCTGAGACCATGACAAATCATGCTTGTGCACCTGGGACCATGGCAGGCCACGCTTGTGCACCTGGGACCATGGCAGGCCACGCTTGTGCACCTGAGACCATGACAGATCATGCTTGTGCACCTGGGACCATGGCAGACCATGCTTGTGCACCTGGGACCATGGCAGACCATGCTTGAGCACCTGGGACCACGGCAGACCATGCTTAAGCACCTGGGACCACGGCAGACCATGCTTGTGCACCTGGGACCATGACAGACCATACTTGTGCACCTGGGACCATGACAGACCATACTTGAGCACCTGGGACCATGGTCGACCACACAGTTCCATTTTCACAACTATTCCATTAGATTAACAATTTATGTCACTGAAATTCCTTCTTATTTATATAAAGTATATATATGACTGTACAGTATTTATATTTTATTATCTTTTGGGATATATACATGTACTTCTGTAGAGTTCTATAAGACTTTAAGTGAAAATGTGACTATAGACATTTATATACACGAAAGTATAAAGCAGGTATGCTGGACACACATATAAAGAGGCTGTACACTGGTGCTGGTGACTCGAGGTTCACCAGGCTACACATGTAATATATATATATATATATATATATATATATATATATATATATATATATATATATATATATATATATATATTATATATATAACAACATTGTTACCTACGCTCCTAGTTATGTATTTATTTTTAATTTTAATATTTGTATCCTGTTATCCAGCACATTATTTGTTGTAATAATGTTGGTAGAATTACCGACAATATGTAAAGTAAAAGGACACAAATGCAACTAATGTGACATTTTATTGTGGCAACGTTTCGCTCTCCAGGCTTGATAAAGCTCCTGGAGAGCGAAACGTTGCCACAATAAAATGTAGCTACTTTTAATTAGTAGTTTTATGTCTGTAACTCTATAATACTGTAACTGCAACAACAACAATATAATAATAATAATAATAATAATAATAATAATAATAATAATAATAATAATAATAATAATAATAATAATGGTAACTCAATTTTTTTTACTGAAATTCAAACTGAGCAATAATTACAAAAAACAGCTTTTTTTGTTTTAATTATCTGTACATTTGTGATCACTGAAAGTATTCAATCATTTACATATTTTTTTAATAAATATAGAATATCTGGCGTTATATCCTTATCTAGATTAATATTACGTTCATTCATAAGAATGTATTAGGCCTTTACCCCCTAATCCGCATTAACCAACCTATGTAATTTTTGTATTAAGGGTTTAAAGTATTCTTAACTGATGGTGTTTAGGTCAAGGGTGACTTTATACCTAATGTGTAACTGTTACATTTTAAAGCACACACAAGGATTCACCAGAGTATATATACACCGAGGTGCATATCTGTGTATATACACACCAAGGTGCATATCTGTGTATATATACACACACGCCATGGTGCATATCTTTGTATACACATACACACCAAGATACATATCTATGTATATACACACACCATGGGCATATCTATATATAGACACACACCAAGATGAATATCTATATACGTATATATACACCAAGGCGAATATCTGTGTATACACACACACACACACACACACCAAGGTGCATATCTGTATATATACACACACACCAAAGTGAATATCTACATATACACACACACCAAGGTGAATATCTATGTATATACACTGAGTCATATTTAAAATATGTGGCGTTTGATTTTTTCCACTGAAAATAAAAATAAATAAATACCCTCATTCAATTATTAATGTATTTTGCCTAGTGGTATAGTGATAATTACCGTGTAGCCAATAGGCTACAACTGTAAGCGCACTGTATGACTTATACAACCAAAATAGGACTGCGTTGTGTTTTTGTATAAATATAATAAGATAATCTATATCACAACCTAAATATCTAGTCTCTAGGCCAAGACCTTTGTAACTTGCTCAGCTATCAAAACTTTGGGGCCCAGTCCCTGGTCCCATTATGTACTTCTGTAATCTTTTTGACTACCGCCCACAGGATGGGTATGGGGTGCATAATAAACATATTAAACTAAACTAGGCCAAGATCAATTAATAATGCTCTCAATCCAAGGCTTGTAGTAACTCATGCGCATGTAGACCCCTGGAAGGTTGGGGTAGGCGCACTTTATGCCATGGGAGACGGTGCCTGCTAGCACCCAGCGCCCGTCAGTGCCTCGTACAGACAGTGGGCCACCACTGTCACCCTGAAAGAGGTCAAGCCAGGTTCAGAAAGGTCATTGTTAGAAAAATATCATGGCTAAGGAAGGAACCAGGGTCAGGAAGGTCATGTAAGGTTACAGTAAGTCACTCAGAAAAAATATCATAGCTAAGGAAGGAACCAGGGTCAGGAAGGTCATGTAAGGTTACAGTAAGGTCACTTAGAAAAGATATCATGGCTAAGGAAGGAACCAGGGTCAGGAAGGTCATGTAAGGTTACAGTAAGGTCACTCAGAAAAAATATCATGGCTAAGGAAGGAACCAGGGTCAGGAAGGTCATGTAGGTTACAGTAAGGTCAGTGTTATAACAATATCAAGGCTAGACATTTAACACGAGCATAAACTAATGAAATAAGTTATAAACGTTAAAAACTAGATCCTGTTCGGAAATATGTTAAATTTTGCTTGTACTTGAAGTATCAAAGCTCTTAAGAGGCGGGAAATCGGTGCACGAGGGCACAGATAAATCACAGGTATGTCAGAAAGAATTTCTTCAGGTAGTGGCCCACAAGGCCAAAAAAATAAGTGAGTACATAGTGACGTAAGGAAGTACCTATTCATTCCTAGGGTAGCAAGTGGAATGCAAACAATATGCAGATTCAAGGATAGATAATAGTTTCTTCTGGATAAAATACATTGTATAAGTTAGAATCACGTAATTAAAAACATGTGTATATGAGGAAGTGGCGATAAATTGTTTGTGTGCGGGAGGAGGACGAGAAGGAACACAAAGTCTCAATTTGACTCTAGTCAGTACTAGGCTACACCTACTGATTCTGGTCTGCCTTTTGTTCGTTCTATTGTTCCTGCTCCTCCTCAGCCTCAAACTGACAGATTCAATTACCTCATGCATGCAACCCATCTTGCGTGATGGAATATAAGAACACAGGAATGATGGAACACTGCAGTAGGCCTATTTGTCCATCCAATTTACACCCACTCAACTTACATTTAAAGCTACCCAAAGTTCTTGCCTCAATGACGTTACCTGGGAGATTGTTCCACTTATCTACAACTCAACTGACAAACACTGCCTCCTTAAAATACTTTCTAAATATAAATTTCACAGGGAAACTTATCCTGAGCGATGGACTATAACAGAGAAATCCATTCTGTGACGGAATATGACAAGGAAACCCATCCTGTTATGGAAAATGAGGAAAACCCATCCTCTGTGATGGAATATGACAGGGAAAACCCATAATCTGTGATGGAATATGACAGGGAAAACCCATCCTCTGTGAAGGAATATGACATAAAACCCATGGTCTGTGATGGAATATGACGGAAAACCCATCCTATGTGAAGGAATATGACAAGGCAACAGAGTTTTTCCTCCCACTTCGTAAGACTTGTGTCATTAAACGTTATTCGTTATTGCTGACGAATAAAACACTTACACTAGCTTAACATTATGAGTAGGATAACAGCACATTGTGCGTGTAATCAGTTTTAGTGAATAATTTGTTCATCACCTCTACCCGCTATTCTCTCTTTTCGCGCTTTTTCTGCCCGGTCTCTTCTTTTTCTAGTTTTTTTTTTTATATTCTCTCTCCCTGGCACACCCTTCTCTCCATCCTTTTAGATCCAGCACCCCTTTCCCGTCCCAGCAGTCTTATCTCCCCGTCCAATATCCTATTTTCCCGTCCAATATCCTATTTTCCCGTCCCAATAGTTTATCTCCCCATCCCAGCAGCTTATTTTCCCGTTCCAGCAGCCTATTTCCTCTTCCAAGTTAGTTTATCTCCCCATCCTAGCAGTTTATTTCCCAGTCCCAGCAGCCTACCTCCCTGCTAGAGCAGCCTAACTCCCCGCCAAAGCAGCCTTCCTCCCCGCTAGAGCAACCTACCTCACACGAGTCCTTCTTGCCCTGCTTGTAACCTGCGCAAAAGAACTCAGGCTTGATGTTCTTGATGTGTCCTGCCTCGATGAACCACTTCTGGCACTGACTGTTCTTGATGATGGGCAGTGCTACCTCGTTGAGCTGCGTGGGCACCGGTCCTCCTGCAGAAGTTTAGATTAATAATAATATTGATTTGTACAAGTACATGTACAAAGTATACAGGCCTAGCTGACATCAATGATATACTAATATATAGAAACTCGCTTGTTATGCAGAGCATTTCGGGCAAATCAGGTCAATTTTGTCCCCAGGATGCGACACACACCAATCGACTAACATCCAGGTACCCATTATTACTGATGGGTGAATATAAACAACCAGTGTAAGGAAACATGCCCAATGTTTCCAACCTTTGCTGGGAATCGAACCCGGACGCTCACTGTGCGAAGCGAGTTTTGTCACCAGGCCACGGGCCACCGAAGCTTGGTACCTCGTACCCAGCCTGTGAAAGATTACAGAGGTACATAATGGGTCTAGGGACTAAGAAGCAAAGTTTTAATAGATGAGCAAGTTACAGTTGTAATGAATTATTTGCATGTTCATATCTGGTTATAATCGTAATGAGTTAGTTATGCAGACATGAATTAGGTCACACAAAAATAAGTGGTAACGCGTTATTTACATGAGCAAAGTCAGGGTATTTTCCAGAATGGTTGGTAATATACCACTGTGGATAAAATACTCTAACATTTCTTGAACAATTCTGAGTGAGTTGTCTCTGAATTCATTATAATTTTATCGTATTCCTACAGAAGGCCATGAAGATTTAGCATTAACATCATGAAGATAGCCTAGAAGTATATATTACAATGTTTACCAACTCGATTTGTATATGACCCTTTCCTCCACCATGCGTGTGTATACCTACCATAAGAGAGTCGTCCCCATCCTGTGACATAGCCCATCTTGCCAAGGAAATCCTCGTCGCCCCTGGGCATGCAGATGGGCACGATGTGCTCGTCGTAGGCCACAGGTCGTTCCATCTCCAGCAGCGCCAGGTCGTTGTCGAAAGTCTTAGCGACATAGCCCCTGTGAACGACCACTCTCTTCACGTTCCTCTGCACCGTCTGCTTGGGTTCGTAGTCGTCTGAGAGGTCGTATTCTCCCAGGACGACAATTAGCGACGCCAGAAACCTATGTAGCAGCGAAAGAAGACCTGGTTACTGACGACTCGGTATTATATGCATTCCAATTCATCCTTGCAAATTCTTTGCAGATTTTTCACATACGATTTACAGCATTTTTTTTCAATTTACGCTATTTAAATTGGGTTAACTAAGGATAGACTGTCCTCTATCAATTATTATTATTATTATTATTATTATTATTATTAAATATTCGCCGGTATTCTCCCGGCCCGGGCCTTTTCCAAGTGGTGGCCCGGCCTTGGCTCCCTCTCTAGGGAGTGTCTGAGACCTAAGTCTCCCATGGGAGGAGGCACAAGTACCTCCTCATCTTTGGGACCAACTGTCCCCAGGCCTAGCCACAAGCTAGGCCTCTCTGGTCTGCCATCCCCGCCCCAAGGGGGCAAATGGGAATGACAGTCTCATGAGCTCAGGCACCTACCCTACCCTAGAAGGGTTAGGCATGGTGTCGATGGGCCTCTATCAATAAAATTTAATAAGTGTAACATACCAAAACAGCAATAATGGACTTTAAGATGAAGATTATACAAGATTTACGCTATTCAAATTAATTAGTTTATGATAAACTGTCCGCCATCAATAAAATTTAATTAACTGTAAATTACCAAAAGAGCAATACTTATATAGAATTTAAGATGGAGGTTATACAAGTTCCAGGCAAGAGACTGTAACAGTCAAATGGGTGACTGTTTAAGACTTTAAACAGTCACCCATTTGACTGTCACAGTATCAGTTATATACTGTTTGTTATTAAGACTACCGTCAGCATACACCCATAAACCCACCCAGGCTGACAGTGGGCCGCCGTCAGCACATATCTATGGTTGAGCAGGACACCACCACACTTGTTCTTAGTAAAGATGCCTAGCCAGGTGGACTCCTTGACTAGTGCCTGCCAGGGCCATTCTGCAAAGTCTGCTCGTTCACCGTTCACGATCCTCGCCTCCCGTGCCAGAGGTCGTACACCACAACCTGTGGCAACAACAACACACGTTACACCAAAATAAAAAATTATTACCGTATTTTCCGGTACATAAAGTGCATTTTTTCCCCCACAAGTCTTGGAAAATCAGCCTGCGCCTTATATGCCCAAGGTCAGGGTCAAGGGTAGGCTTTGAGTTACGCTTTAGCAGCTGCTTATACTAACGTTACAAATGCTTTGAAACAGGTTAGGTTAAGTAAGGTTGGTCAGGAAACGGACAAGTGCTTCCTGAAGTGGGTCTTAGCCACATGATGACCCACAGCTGGAGCTTTTGGTCATCTGACTGAGGCCTTCCACTGGCCCACCCCTTCACCAATTTACACATTATGGTGTACATTATGATAACCGAAAAATACGGTAACTTAGTCTATAACATCAATAAAACATTTCTTGATGTTCCGACTAACTGTCAAAGTTATAGCAAAAACTAATCTATACACTTACTTTATTGGACATAAATGATCGTTGGGCAGACTAAAAATTTTTATCACTACTGGCATTTATCTCCACAATAAATCGCTCACAAGTGAGCGATGCTATAGTGGGTATAAACTGTTTATTTTCTCGAAAAAATGTTAGCCTGATCAAAAATTCTAATATACCATCGTGTGCAGAATTTAGAGCACTTTCATTCTTTTTATTATTTCTCATAAATTATTATTTTTTTGCTAAATATTCAAATGGAATTTAGAAAAAATTGCACAATTGATGTGTTTCAACGTGTTTTCAACGTGTTTCTTCAACGTGTTTCTTCAACGTGTTTCTTCAACGTGTTTCTTCAACGTGAAACATCAATTATGGTTTAAAATAAACACGTGAGCAAACATTAGATCATATTAATTATTAGAAAACGTTAGTGTAATGACAAGTGTTAGAAGTGTCATGGGAGCTTGATCACTTCTAACATACAGAGGTTAAAATGACAAGTGTTAGAAGTGTCATGGGAGCCTGATCACTTCTAACATACAGAGGTTAAAATGACAAGTGTTAGAAGTGTCATGAGAGCCTGATCACTTCTAACACACAGAGGTTAAAATGACAAGTGTTAGAAGTGTCATGGGAGCTTGATCACTTCTAACATACAGAGGTTAAAATGACAAGTGTTAGAAGTGTCATGGGAGCCTGATCACTTCTAACATACAGAGGTTAAAATGACAAGTGTTAGAAGTGTCATGGGAGCCTGATCACTTCTAACATACAGAGGTTAAAATGACAAGTGTTAGAAGTGTCATGGGAGCTTGATCACTTCTAACATACAGAGGTTAAAATGACAAGTGTTAGAAGTGTCATGGGAGCTTGATCACTTCTAACATACAGAGGTTAAAATGACAAGTGTTAGAAGTGTCATGGGAGCTTGATCACTTCTAACATACAGAGGTTAAAATGACAAGTGTTAGAAGTGTCATGGGAGCTTGATCACTTCTAACATACAGAGGTTAAAATGACAAGTGTTAGAAGTGATCAAAGTCCCAAGACACAAACGTTGTCCAGTGAATACATTCTAGTATTTCCTAACCTGTCTTTATAAACCAATTTGTTGGTATTTTACCAAGGTTTATACATCAATTATATTACTAATGGAAGAAATCACAATAAAACGCAATATACGTATATATATATATATATATATATATATATATATATATATATTATATATATCCTAGGTAGTAGGTTGGTAGACAGCAACCACCCAGGGAGGTACTACCGTTCCTGCCAAGTGAGTGTAAAACTAAAGCCTGTAATTGTTTTACATGATGGTAGGATTGCTGGTGTCCATTTTTGTGTCATGAACATGCAAGATTTCAGGTATGTCTTGCTACTTCTACTTACACTTAGGTAACACTACACATACATGTACAAGCATATATATACACACCCTCTGGGTTTTCTTCTATTTTGTTTCTAGTTCTTGTTCTTGTTTATTTCTTCTTATCTCCATGGGGAAGTGGAACAGAATTCTTCCTCCGTAAGCCATGCGTGTTGTAAGAGGCGACTAAAATGCCGGGAGCAAGGGGCTAGTAACCCTTATGCTGATAATATTACTAAATGTAAAAGGAGAAACTTTTGTTTTTCCTTTTGGGCCACCCGCCTCGGTGGGATACGACCGGTGTGTTGAAAGAAAGAATATATATATTATATATATATTATATATATATATATTATATATATATATATTATATATATAATATATATTATATATATTAATGTATTATATATATATAAAAATATATATGCAATAAGATCACAGTAAACAGGTGATTTCAGAATATGCAAAACAACCACTCTGAAACAATAGAGAAATTCCAAGCGCTTTCGTGACTACTCACATTATCAAGGAACTATAGTTCCTTGATAATGTGAGTAGTCACGAAAGCGCTTGGAATTTCTCTATTCTTTCAGAGTGGTTGTTTTGCATATATATATATATATATATATAGGTAGTAGGTTGGTAGACAGCAACCACCCAGGGAAGTACTACCGTCCTGCCAGATGACTGTGAAACAGAAACCTGTAACTGTTTTGCATGATGGTAGGATTGCTGGTTTCTTTTTCTGTCTCATAAACACGCTAGATAACAGGGATATCTTGCTACTCCTACTTACACTTTGGTCACACTTCACAGACACGCACATGCATATATATATACATACATCTAGGTTTTTCTCCTTTTTCTAAATAGCTCTTGTTCTTCTTTATTTCTTCTATTGTCCATGGGGAAGTGGAAAAGAATCTTTCCTCCGTAGCCATGCGTGTCGTATGAGGCGACTAAAATGCCGGGAGCAATGGGCTAGTAACCCCTTCTCCTGTAGACATTTACTAAAAAGAGAAGAAGAAAAACTTTATAAAACTGGGATGCTTGAATGTGCGTGGATGTAGTGCGGATGACAAGAAACAGATGATTGCTGATGTTATGAATGAAAAGAAGTTGGATGTCCTGGCCCTAAGCGAAACAAAGCTGAAGGGAGTAGGGGAGTTTCGGTGGGGGGAAATAAATGGGATTAAATCTGGAGTATCTGAGAGAGTTAGAGCAAAGGAAGGGGTAGCAGTAATGTTGAAGGATCAGTTATGGAAGGAGGAAAAGAGAATATGAATGTGTAAATTCAAGAATTATGTGGATTAAAGTAAAGGTTGGATGCGAAAAGTGGGTCATAATAAGCGTGTATGCACCTGGAGAAGAGAGGAATATAGAGGAGAGAGAGAGATTTTGGGAGATGTTAAGTGAATGTATAGGAGCCTTTGAACCAAGTGAGAGAGTAATTGTGGTATGGGACCTGAATGCTAAAGTAGGAGAACTTTTAGAGAGGTGTGGTAGGTAAGTTTGGAGTGTCAGGTGTAATGATAATGGGAGCCCTTTGATTGAACTTTGTATAGGAAGGGGTTTAGTTATAGGTAATACATATTTTAAGAAAAAGAGGATAAATAAGTATACAAGATATGATGTAGGGCGAAATGACAGTAGTTTGCTGGATTATGTATTGGTAGATAAAAGACTGTTGAGTAGACTTCAGGATGTACATGTTTATAGAGGGGCCACAGATATATCAGATCACTTTCTAGATGTAGCTACACTGAGAGTAAAAGGTAGATGGGATACAAGGAGAATAGAAGCATCAGGGAAGAGAGAGGTGAAGGTTTATAAACTAAAAGAGGAGGCAGTTAGGGTAAGATATAAACAGCTATTGGAGGATATATGGGCTAATGAGAGCATAGGCAATGGGGTCGAAGAGGTATGGGTTAGGTTTAAAAATGTAGTGTTAGAGTGTTCAGCAGAAGTTTGTGGTTACAGGAAAGTGGGTGTGGGAGGGAAGAGGAGCGATTGGTGGAATGATGATGCAAAGAGAGTAGTAAGGGAGAAAAAGTTAGCGTATGAGAAGTTTTTACAAAGTAGAATTGATGCAAGGAGGGAAGAGTATATGGAGAAAAAGAGAGAGGTTAAGAGAGTGTGTGAAGCAATGTAAAAAGAGAGTAAATGAGAGAGTGGGTGAGATGTTATCAACAAATTTTGTTGAAAATAAGAAAAAGTTTTGGAGTGAGATTAACAAGTTAAGGAAGCCTAGAGAAACAAATGGATTTGTCAGTTAAAAATAGGAGAGGAGAGTTATTAAATGGAGAGTTAGAGGTATTGGGAAGATGGAGGGAATATTTTGAGGAATTGTTAAATGTTGATGAAGATAGGGAAGCTGTGATTTCGTGTATAGGGCAAGGAGGAATAACATCTTGTAGGAGTGAGGAAGAGCTAGTTGTGAGTGTGGGGGAAGTTCGTGAGGCAGTAGGTAAAATGAAAGGGGGTAAGGCAGCCGGGATTGATGGGATAAAGTTAGAAATGTTACAAGCAGGTGGGGATATAGTTTTGGAGTGGTTGGTGCAATTATTTAATAAATGTACGGAAGAGGGTAAGGTACCTAGGGATTAGCAGAGGAGCATGCATAGTTCCTTTGTATAAAGACAAAGGGGACAAAAGAGAATGCAAAAATTATAGGGGGATAAGCCTGTTGAGTATACCTGGTAAAGTGTATGGTAGAGTTATTATTGAAAGAATTAAGAGTAAGACGGAGAATAGGATAGCAGATGAACAAGGAGGCTTTAGGAAAGTAGGTGGTGTGTGGACCAGGTTGTTTACAGTGAAACATATAAGTGAACAGTATTTAGATAGGCTTAAAGAGGTCTTTGTGGCATTTATGGATTTGGAAAAAGGCGTATGACAGGGTGGATAGGGGGGCAATGTGGCAGATGTGCAGGTGTATGGGTGAAAGAGGTAGGTTACTGAAGCAGTGAAGAGTTATTACGAGGATAGTGAGGCTCAAGTTAGAGTATGTAGGAAAGAGGGAAATTATTTCCCAGTAAAAGTAGGCCTTAGACAAGGATGTGTGATGTCACCGTGGTTGTTTTATATATTTATAGATGGGGTTGTAAGAGAAGTAAATGCGAGGGTCTTGGCAAGAGGCGTGGAGTTAAAAGATAAAGAATCACACATAAAGTGGAGTTGTCACAGTTGCTCTTTGCTGATGACACTGTGCTCTTGGGAGATTCTGAAGAGAAGCTGCAGAGATTGGTGGATGAATTTGGTAGGGTGTGCAAAAGAAGAAAATTAAAAGTGAATACAGGAAAGAGTAAGGTAATGAGGATAACAAAAAGATTAGGTGATGAAAGATTGGATATCAGATTGGAGGGAGAGTATGGAGGAGGTGAATGTATTCAGATATTTGGGAGTGGACGTGTCAGCGGATGGGTCTATGAAAGATGAGGTGAATCATAGAATTGATGAGGGGAAAAAGGGTGAGTGGTGCACTTAGGAGTCTGTGGAGACAA